CAAACAGGTTATAATATCTTGTCCACAATGGTGTCTATGCTGAATGTCAAATGTAGCTCTTACAGACACAATACCTGTTAACACAGGAAATAACAAACCACTGAGCAGAGCTGACATGATGTAACATCAGGACCAATGATCTCTACCTGTTGATATTTGGATGATGATGGATGATGTCAGGAGGATGTTGGGCGGAGCTGTGTGGGAAATTATGGGATGTCACCAAACTACCTGCATTAATTGGGTGAGTTGCCCCGCCCCCAACAGGTGCAACAACAACAACAAAGTGGAGGGATGAATAAAAATCGCTCTCAGGTCGGTTTCTGTTGTCAACTTTAAACCATTGTTACTCCAACAACTGGTGCCCAGTGTGAGGCAAAGTCTGAGTAGTAGTATATAGTTACTGAAACAGATAAAACATGTTATTAGTTTATAAAATGTGATGCAATATTACAGATTCAACCACCAACAGTATCTAAAACAGTTGAAATGATCTCAACTACTACAACACTAAAATACGTGTTACACATGAATGCATCAGGAGTAATAATCCAACAATATCACAGTGTCACACTCACAGGGGACACTTTTATTAATTATTAGTACTTTTACTTTTGATACTTTAGTGACATTTTTAATGCAGGACTTTTACTTGTGATGGAGTATTTTTATATTGCAGTAGTTACTTTTACTGAAGTAAATTAAAGTAAATTATCCACCACTGCACACTGGGAGTCACCAGCAGGTTTATTTCTTTAAAACTTTATTGAACAAGAATGACAAAGACAGACAGAAATCATACACTGTGGCAACATCACAGTGACATCAGGACAAGAAAGTTAAAGAAAAAGAAAAACTGAATAAAGTAGTTTTTACAAGTTTTAAATTGAATGTTTTACAAGGAATAATCAGTAAAAGCAAACATGTTGATAAGAAAGGAAACATTCAGAGTAAACAAATTGAAATTTTACACAAATAATGAGACAAAAAAATTGCAAAATAGAAAAAACAAACCAAAAAAAGAGTGAAAAGCTGCAGATTATTGAGTGTTTGACGTCAGACTAATGTGACACTATCTCTACTGTACTAATGCCAACATGTCAGTCTGATCACTTTTAAATTTGTTCATGAAATTAATCATTAGACTTTATCTCATTTCAAAGAACTTTTGGACTCTTTCACTTTCAATATAAAGTATGAAGCTGGATTTTACTAATCCTTCATTTTATACAGTGTTGGATCCATTTGGACAGTTTTGCTTTGACATCATTTAGATGTGGTTTCCAGCATCATTTATTATCTAGAATCATCCCAAACCTTTGATTTCTTTTGATTTCAACCTGACTTATCAAAGTTTGTACATTTGTTCCACGATGACCAAAGATGATGAATTTAGTTTGTTCAAATAAAAGCCACTCTTTACACCTTGGAACTATTTTTACACAGATGCTGAATTTGATCCTGAAAGACTCTTGTTTGACATTTGAACACATTTTTCTTCACAGAAACAAAAGTTTTAAGACAACAAAGTTCAGTTTTAGACTCAAAGTTGAATATTTGTTCACACTTTAATATTTGAGTCATAAAAACACTTTCCCTCTAACTGTGCTTTCAAAAAGAAGAAGATTTGAAAAACAAGCAGCCACATTTGATCCTAAAAATGTTCATTTTTCTCAGAGTTATAGAAGAAGATCAATTCTTTCTATCATTTCTTTATCTCTACGTCTGCAGGCTGCACATTACCCTCACACATGATCCCTTCATCCCAGCATCCTTTGCTCTTCTCTTCCTTCAGCCTCCTCTTCCTCCTCTATTACAGTAAACACATCAGGTTGGTACTAACTAACATCAGCTGTGTGTGATCCTGTACAGACTGAACTATCTGGTCAGCAGTGAGAAAGTTTCTCTCTCCCTCCTACAGAGGACACAGAGACACTGAGGAACCAGACCAGAACCTGAACCCAGGATAAAGAGGTTCAGTGAATGTGGTGTTGAAGGTGTGGAGGTGGATCAGTGTGTCAGAGGAGACTGTGTAGAAGGACAGAGTGCCAGCAGGACAGTCCACATACACTGCTACTCTACCAGAGGAGGAGGAGGAGGAGGAGGAGGAGATGGGTGTTTTTCTGTTATTGTGCCAGACATAGTAACCACCATCAGAGCAGTACAGACTCCAGGACTGATCATTCAATCCAAACCAACAGTCTGTACTGTATCCTCTCCTGCTGATTCCTCTGTAACTCACTGATATATAAACTCCTCCTCTCCACTCGACCTCCCAGTAACAGCGACCAGTCAGACCATTTCTACACAGCAGTTGAGGACAGTCAAATCTGTCTGGATGATCAGGATATGACTGATCCTCCTTCACATAAATCATCTTCCTGTTGTTGTCAGACAGTTTGATCTTTCTGTTCACTGTGTTTGTGTCGACTGTGAGTTCACAGGAATCTGATGGAGAGAACAAGACACAATACAGCTGCAGTTATTGATCTATCATCTGATCATTGATTGACACTTTGATGATGACATCAGAGCTGTGAATGAGTGATGTCACAGTGTGAAGATGGTTGAATGTGTGCTGCTTTGTTTTCACACTTACACTTCCTCAGACCTGGTCTCAACCATCGGACTCCAGCAGGCTCCACCCTGAAAGGAGGAGGGGGGTCAGAGCAGCATGGAAACATGGACATTACATCGCTCTCATACACAGAGCTTATTACACACACACACACACACACACACACACACACACACACACACACACACACACACACACACACACACACACACACACACACACACACACACACACACACACACACACACACACACACACACACACACACACACACACACACACACACACACACACACACACACACACACACACACACACACACACACACACACACACACACACACACACACACACACACACACACACACACACACACACACACACACACACACACACACACACACACACACACACACACACACACACAGTCTGTGTTAAACATTTCTTTGTTCAGTTGTTTGAACCTGAATTGAAAATAATGCTGGGGGCTGCAAATGAGCTTCAGCTACACTCTGTATACATCATCTGTTGCATTGAGTCTTCTTGTGCATTCAATAATTATGAATCATATATAATGATAATGATTATCTTTACTGTCAGTGGGAATTAAACTAACTAATTAATACTTATCTTCATTCCAGGGAAGAGTCTTCTTATTGGCCGATGGCTACGACTCATTATTTTTACTTTTTATGTTTATAGGAAAATATAACTATTCATCTGTTTATTTATTAATCTCCTTATGTCCTGTTCTGAATAGAAGACAAATCTGTGTAAACAGTTACCTGACAAAGATACACTTTGTTTTTACACAATCATTTTTCAACTACTGACAAGTTGTTTCCTCCCAGTTGTGGAACATTAGTGTTTGATGGTTCCAGCTGATGAACAGCTCCAGTCAGTCGTCTTTGTGATGTAATATTTTATAACAGTGTGATGAGTCAGTGGTTGTTAACTCTGGTTGATTCAAATAAAACTGACATATCACCATGAGTAACAGTCTCCATCATCAAATAAAGAAACTCTACCACAGAAACTGTTCATTGAATAACTGGCTGTATGAGTTTTACTTTGGGTCAGTTACACAGTTCTTGACTCCTAAAATTCCTCTTTGGTATGTCAGGTTCCAGCAGCAGAGGCAAAATAAAACTACTCTAAAATATGAGGATTAAAAGAACAGATTAATGAATCCTGACCTGAGGATTCCCAGTGTGCAGTGTGGACTCTCCAGTCCCACATTCAGCAGCTTCAGTCCTGAATCCTGCAGGTTGTTGTTACTCAGGTCCAGCTCTCTCAGACTAGAGGACTGGGAGCTGAGAACTGAGGACAGAGCTTCACAGCTTCTCTCTGAGAGGTTACAGCCACTCAGTCTGTAGAGACAATGATCAACATGAAGAAATGGTAAGATATTCAAGGGATCATACCTGACAAGCTCTATGTTCTATGGTTGTAAACAGATGACACAGTGGTTAAGAACCAGCCTTTGTCAAGTGCTGGGTTTAAAATCTACTTTGGAAACCAGTAAAGAAATGTGCTTTCTTGTGTTGCAGTGTGTTGTGTGTTGATCCTGGTGGTTCCTGCTGCTGTGGTCCTGCTTGACCTCCACTGCCATTATTATTATTATTATTATTATTATTATTATTGTTGTTGTTATTCTTGTTGTTCATCTCTGTGGCTATTGTAGTCTTCGTCGTCATAGTCATTTCTACTAGTATAGTTCTTGCATTGCACCTTTTTCTCTGTGCTTTTCTATCTCTAATTCTCAATCTGAAGAACAGAGGTCTCCAGATCTTTTATCTTCTGTTTTGGTCTGGTTTTGGTCTCCTGTCCTCCCTCCTTTCCTCTACAGCTGTCTCTCAGACTCAGGCTACCAAAGTCCTCTCTTTCCTCCTCAAGCCGTTCATTGGAAGTTCAGATTCAATCAAATATCAAACATGTTTTTTTGAGGTTTACAAAAGTATTCTAGTTACAGATTTGATGTGTACCAGGGCTACTCAACTGCATTTGTCCAAAGTCCAGAATTTGTCTAAGCAAACCCTGTGGGGGCCGGACTATGAAAATATTGTTAATATATCCTCTTAAATAAACTGATGTTATTTTTATTAGTCTATATCAATGTGAACAGATTAAAAACATTAGAATCCATAATGATAACTAGATACTAAAAAATACTTTCAGACCTCCACCAAGGAGGCAGCTCACTGAGGAGTGATGGTTAAAGTCTGTAAGAATGCAGTCCTGGTTGGTAGCAAATATGAATCACCTTTAATGTTTTTACAATATTATGCAGTTGCATTATTATTGTTCATGTGCCCGCTGCCAGTAAGCTATGAAAGTAAAAGATTTTGTCAGAGGGGTCAATTGGTCCTTGGGCTGATATTTACCTTCCTTTAACTAAAGATTAACTATACTATGATCTGACCTGAGAGTTTCCAGTGTACAGTGTGGACTCTTCAGTCCCACAGACAGCAGCTTCAGTCCTGAATCCTGCAGGTTGTTGTTACTCAGGTCCAGCTCTCTCAGACTAGAGGACTGGGAGCTGAGAACTGAGGACAGAGCTTCACAACTTCTCTCTGAGAGGTTACAGTCACTCAGTCTGTAGAGACAATGATCAACAATGAAAAAACAAACATTTGTTTTGTTAAAACATTCATAATGAAAAACAAGCAGTTAACAGAAAAGATAGCAGAGTATTTAAGTAATAATACAGAAATCCAACTCTGTCTGTACTTACAGAGCTTTGTTGGAGGCTTTGACCACTGGCAGTAGCCTCAGAAGAGCCTCCTCTGAAGCAGAGTATTTCTTCAGGTCAAACACGTCGAGATCTTTTCCTGATGACAGTAAGATGAAGACCAGAGCTGACCACTGAGCAGGAGACAGTTTATCTGTGGAGAGACTTCCTGAACTCAGGGACTGTTGGATCTGATCCACTAGAGAACGATCATTCAGTTCATTCAGACAGTGGAACAGATTGATGCTTCTCTCTGGAGAGGGAGTCTCTTCGATCTTCTTCTTGATGTACTGGACTGTTTTCTGATTGGTCTGTGAGCTACTTCCTGTCTGTGTCAGCAGGCCTTGTAGGAGATTCTGATTGGTCTGCAGTGAAAGGCCCAGGAGGAAGCGGAGGAACAAGTCCAGGTGTCCATTTGGGCTCTGTAAGGCCTTGTCCACAGCACTCTGGTAGAGTTGTTTTAGATTCAGTTTGTCCTTAAATAATTTGGACTTTAGAGATATTGTTTTTTCTTCTGCCAGCAGATTGACTCCAGAGTTGATGAATGTCAGATGGACGTGAAGAGCAGCCAGAAACTCCTGAACACTCAGATGGACGAAGCAGAAGACCTTGTCCTGGTACAGTCCTCTCTCCTCTTTAAAGATCTGTGTGAACACTCCTGAGTACACTGAGGCTGCTCTGATATTGATGCCACACTCTGTCAGGTCTGATTCATAGAAGATCAGGTTGCCTTTCTGCAGCTGCTCAAAAGCCAGTTTTCCCAGAGACACTATCATCTTCCTGCTGTCTGGACTCCAGTGTGGATCTGTCTCAGCTCCTCCATCATACTTGAGATTCTTCAGTTTGGACTGAACCACCATGAAGTGGATGTACATCTCAGTCAGGGTCTTGGGCAGCTCTCCTCTCTTTCTGGTCTTCAACACATCCTCCAGAACTGTAGCAGTGATCCAGCAGAAGACTGGGATGTGGCACATGATGTGGAGGCTTCGTGAGGTCTTGATGTGGGAGATGATTATGCTGGTCTGGTCCTGATCTATGAATCTCTTCCTGAAGTACTCCTCCTTCTGTGGGTCAGTGAACCCTCTGACCTCTGTCACCATGTCAACATACTCAGAAGGGATCTGATTGGCTGCTGCAGGTCGTGTGGTTATCCAGAGGCGAGCAGAGGGAAGCAGTTTCCCCCTGATGAGGTTTGTCAGCAGCACATCCACTGAGGTAGACTCTGTAACATCATTCAGGATCTCAGTGTTGTGGAAGTCCAGAGGAAGTCGACACTCATCCAGGCCGTCAAAGATGAACACAACCTGGAACTCTTCAAACCTGCAGATTCCTGCTTCTTTGGTTTCAGTAAAGAAGTGATGAACAAGTTCCACCAAGCTGTACTTTTTCTCTTTCAGCACATTCAGCTCTCTGAAAGTGAATGGAAATGTGAACTGTATGTCCTGGTTGGCTTTGTCTTCAGCCCAGTCTAGAGTGAACTTCTGTGTTAAGACTGTTTTCCCAATGCCAGCCACTCCCTTTGTCATCACTGTTCTGATTGGTTCATCTCTTCCAGGTGAGGCTTTAAAGATGTCTTCTTGTGTTATTGTTGTTTCTGGTCTGTCTGGTTTCCTGGATGCTGTTTCAATCTGTCTGACCTCATGTTCATCATTGAGCTCTGCAGTCCCTCCCTCTGTGATGTAGAGCTCTGTGTAGATCTGGTTCAGAAGGGTTTGGTTTCCTGCTTTAGCAATCCCCTCAAACACACACTGGAACTTCTTCTTCAGGTTAGATTTAAGTTCACGCTGACAGACTCCAACAAGATGTCCTCAATGAAGATACAGAAAAGAACAACATTAGGTGATGCATTAAATATATCCGTATGACAATTTCATTCCACTAAAGTAGGGATGCCAACACTTTTTCAGCTTGAGAGAGAAAATAAAAAAGTAGTTTTCTGTCCAAGACCCAAACTCAGGGGCTTTAAAACTTCTGGGGGCTAACTCACTACCTCGACTCATTTCATTGAGGGGAAGGGGTTCTAAAGACGGTGGTAGAAGTATGTAGTAATTGTTGCTCACATCCATGTAGATTTTGCTATGCCTTACGAAGATCTCTTTGTCAAACCTCTGATACTGACAATGCATTTTAGGTAAAAACCTGTGCAAGGGATGTTGGTACGGCGGCCTTCACACACTACAGCATTAGTAATAGCAGCATACGTCAGAAGAAAAGGACCATTCCCTGTTTTTATAACTTAATATATCATTAACCTCCTTTTAAAAAAATTATAAATTATCATGGCATTGTTTTGCAGTTTAATTTTGGAATTTGAGTCGTGCCCAATTTTGGTGTTAAAGAATAAGTATGTGAATATATTTTGGTCCGTCTGTTGAGACATCAGTAAATGTCTCATTTATCCAACAAATTAAATCTTTAGAGAAATCCTCTTACTGCTCTGCAGACAGTCAGCCAGCTCCTCCTGCTTCATTCTCCTCAGGAAGTGCACTGTGATCTTCAGAAATGCCTCTCTGCTGCTCCTCCTCTGCTCTTCATCTGTACCATCCAACCTCTCCTCATCCTCCCTCTGACTCTCCAAGCATTCTGGGTAATCTGAACTCAGAACCTTCTGGATCTTCTTCAGCTCGTTCTTCACAAAAGTGACAATGTTGTCCTCCAGCAGCTGGAACAGAATATTATATGAATGACTCAATCAAAGTCAAATCATGGAAGCAAACATCAGATCCATGTTGGACAGACTGACAATCCACTGGTCTAAAAAAGTGCAGCATGGAGATTATTGTGAACACAATAGATGTAAAAGTAGTTGTTGTCCATGTACAGACCATAAATATGGAGTCCAGGTGTGTTTGATGCTGCTGGGCAGACTGACCACTGGGAACCTCTGAGCTCTCCTGGTCCACTCTGTGGAGGAATCATGAAGAATGAGCTCACATTATGTCTGTCCACACAGAGACAAACACAAGGTAAAGGTCCATGAAGTGATATTTGGATGTGAACAGTGAATCTGATGACTCCCTGTAGTGGTAAAGGTTTACTAGTCCTGCTGATCCCACTGAGAATCAACAGCTCAGTTTGGTTCAGTCCCAACAGCTCTCACCAACCCCTCCATATAGCTCTCCCTCCCTCACTGTACACTGCTGAAGTGCCCTGGAGCAAGGCACCTAGAGCCTCCAGCTGCTCCAGTGGAGCTGCTCAGTGTCTGCTTGTATCAGACTGGTTGTACTGGGCAGCTCCCAGTGTGAATGTGTTTGACTGTGTGAGTGAGTGTGAGGCAGCTGCTGCTGGAAAAGAGTGTTGGTGCTCAGAGAACTTCATCTGAGTCAGTAAAGGTTGAAAAACTGGAGATCTCACAACTGAGAGTCTGATAAAAACACATCAGTTTGTTTTTATCATCAGTGTGAAATCCTCACCTTTGATCAACAGAGTGACGGCCATCTTTGAAGTATATACGATCTTCCATAGAGAGATCACTCTTCATGGACACACAGCTGGGTCCAGGTTTTTCCTCCTGATAGAAAAACAGGATCAGTTCTGCACTGCACCCACAACACACTGAGACAGAACCAGTGACTGAATACACCGACTGTACACTGTGTATTTGTACCCAGAGAGTTCTTGGTTAGGATTTCTATAAAGTCAGTGTTTGATTTAGACATGTTTCACTGTGTATTTTAAAGCTGTATTCAGTGCAGTGTGCAGTATAGGCAGGGAAATGATGGAGTGGAGTGACCATATCGGTCCAATTAGGATAGAAAGAGGAACAGACGTGGTGTCAAAGCAGTGAGTTTCTATAAACTGCTGCAACTATTTGTTCACTGTGAAACTGAGGCTGTTGTCAATTGACACAAACCATTACCGTCCATTAAAATACATTTTAAAACATTTAAAAATAGAGATTTCATTAAAACACATAATTTTATTTTCACCATCAGTTTGAAATCCTCACCTTTGATCAACAGAGTAGCGGCCATCTTTGAAGTTTATAGGACGACCCATAGAGAGGTCACTCTTCATGGACACACAGCTGGGTTCAGGTTCAGGACAGTCTGGTCTCTGATGGATCCTGATAGAAAGAAATTCATTAAAGCTCACATATTCAGAAACATTGTCCCTGAATCAAAGACTTTGTGAAATGATGTATAATTTGAAATGTTTGAATACAGGGCTGGACAATAAGAACAATGTCTTCAATTACTGACATTATGGACGTGTTACTGAACACAATTTACTGATGTCACACACTTCAACACACTGTCTGAATTCCATATAATTAAAGTGAGAGCAGCTACAACATCTAACCAGCGAGCAATCAGCTCCCAGTCCAGTCCAGAAGAGCAGAATGTGGAACTGGTCAGACTGGAATGAATCAGGACAAACATCAGCAGTGAGCAACATGAGGAAGGAAATCTGCTCTGATTGATTCAAACACATGTTACTGTTACATTTCTCATTATGAAGCTGAATGTTTCTCCTGATACTGATTTGAGATCAGATTGTCCAGCCCTGTTTGAATACTGACAACTACGTACTTTAGCTCAGATAAATGTCTTTGTTTCAAATGGAGAATCAAAGCCTTTGTGACATGGAGAAGAGTCATGGACAGTTAGAGATCCTCATCTCACCTCTGAGCTTTGGTCCTTGTGTCATGTTCCCCACACAGAGTGCTTTTAGAGGGAGGGACTCCCTCCTCTCTGTCCTCACACTGATTCATAGCAGAGCCCACACCTTCACACAGACACAGCAACCTGCTGGGAGAGATCACACATTATTTCATATTTATTTCTACTATCAGTCCACTAGATGGCCTCATGGAGCTGATGGGGAGGATTTTACTGCTCTGCTTCATGGAAATAAAAAGTATGTTGTAGTAACTGAATTTGACCACTTGAGTGCAGTGAAGAGTCAGTTTAACTATTCTACACCGCCTTCTGTCTGCTCCTCTTTTCCTCCTCCTCTCCTCAAACCAGCAGCTGGCAGCAAACACAGACCTGAAAACTGGTTTTCCTGCGTTCCACCACTGATGACAAGATATCAAAGGTTAAGTTGGAGCAGAGAGAAGGGCTTGGTTTGTTGGCACAACTTCAGTTTTGATTTTAGTTGTTTTTACAGTGAAGGCCCTAACCCTTAAAGAACACAAAGACACACATTCATTCAAAATGGCTTCTCTCCTGTTCAGCTCCCCTTTAACACAGAAAAACATCTTTAAAAACTGTTAAAAGTCTGCCGGCAAAAGTTAATATAGTTTCTGTTGAATTTCACTAAAATACAAACTGTTCATCTCCAATAAAATACCATCTAATAACAGATGGGGGTCAGTCTGATCCCTGCTGGGTCCTAGTGCTGGACCGCCTGCTGCCTCCCCCTCTACACCAATAAAAGTCCTGACTGTTGTGGACCACATCAGACCCCAGATCAGACTGAACTCATCTTCCTCATCACAGAGTCATCATTCAAAGAGAGCACGACTGTTTGAAAGCAGCACAGACTTTAAACAATCACACATTCACCATCAATGTGAACAGAAACCATTTCAACCAATCAGAGCTCCACTTACTGAACTTTTAGCCATGAACTTCATCAGTGTGCAGCTCTCTTCTGTCCTCAGCAGCTCTGTGGAGAAAAGGAGCTTCATGCTTCAAGTTCAACTTCCATCAGATAAAATGAAGAGACGTCACTGAGTGTGTGTGTGTATGTGTGTGTGTGTAAGCAGTCTAACTGGTTGGACTGAGTCTGAGTCGCGTTCAAATCAAAATAAATAATCTTGAACAGAGTTGGTTTGACAGCAGACTGGATTCTGATAGTTCAGAGGAGTTGTACTCGCCCCTCTTTGTGACCTGGATTTCTCTTCTATCTGGACTACTGGGGAAGAGGATCAAGCAGAAACCAGAGTCTGACTTCCTGCCCAGAACTTTAATTAATAATACAGTTAACAATATACTGCTTTGTTACCTGGGGAGAAAATCCTCAGACTCTATTTAAAATTCACACCTTTTCATGGAGGAGGATTTGGCTCCCTCTGGTGTCACAAACATAAAGTGCATCCTGTCAGTTGAAGTGAAACAGATTACAGACTGTTTTCAGTGTTTGGAAATCATCCAGATATCAACAGGTAGAGATCATTGGTCCTGATGTTACATCATGTCAGCTCTGCTCCGTAGTTTGTTGTTTCCTGTGTTAAACAGCTGTG